TTTATTATTATTATTACAATAGGAATCTGGTGCTGTGGAACTGCAAGAGATTTTAGGAACTTCTGATTAAATTTATGCACTAGTGTCTCTAAAATAAGAAGTTTTCAGCTGGGCGGTAGTGGCGCATGGATCTCTGTGAGTTCGAGGCAGGGCTGGACCGACAGCCTCCAAAACAATACAGAGAAACCCTGTCTCGTAAAACCAAAAAAAAAAAAAAAAAAAAAAAAAGAAGAAGTTTTCATATTGACAAAAAAAAAAAAAAAGAAGAAGTTTTCATATTGACAAAAAAAAAAAAAAAAAAGACTTCCATAACTGGCTCTCCAGATTCCAGTGTGAGAAGCTGTGGAGCTGAGTGGAACTAGAGTGAGACAGTATCAGGCTCCTGGAAGCCAGACCTTGGGCTTAGACACTCAAAAGTGGCCCCAATGGTTTACCCATGTCTGGTCATGTGCTTTCTGTCCTTGTCCTTAGACAATTCACCGGGTTTGCACTAAAGTAGAGGAACATTGTAAGATCTTGAGAAATGTGTGTAAACCGTTTAAGCCCTGAGGTGGAGGGCGAATAACAAAATAAGATGAAAACAAGAGGCCGAGGTTCACCTCAGCACAGTGTGAGAACCTTCTGTAGTCTCAGCTCTGAGGAAGTAAATGTGGGAATCCCCTACAGCTCACAGAACTCAGGTAAACTTCCCTTATATGAGAAAACAATGAATACAGAAGCTACCATATAAGCAGTCTCCTCAACAGAACACTCTTTAGTCACGATCCAAAATATTATCAACCCATTGTTTCCTCTCTTCTCCTCTTTCTTTCCTTATTTTGAAACTGTCTTTCTGTGTAGCTCAGGCTGACCTGGAACTACCCAAGCTGGCCTCAAACTCACCATCCTCCTATGTCTCCCCCACACACTCCTTCTTATTTAGGCCATCCTTCTAGATAGACCCACAGTAGATGCTAAATGAAATCTTGTAACTTGAAATCGAAAGGAGAAAGCTGGATGGGAATGAAGGCAGAGGCAGGAGGATCTCTGCGAGTTCAAGGGCAGCCTGTTTTACATGTCAACTAACAGGACAGTCAAGACTATATAGAGAGACCTTGGATACATACATACATACATACATACATACATACATACATACATACATGATAGACAGAAAAAAGCAAGAAATAAGCTTTGTTGTTTGTCTGTGTAGTACAGGCATTATAACTAAGGTAGCGGAGAAGTGGTACACCACCCCTTGTTACCTCACACAAAGCAAGACAGAATTATAGGTGGTTTAAGGATACAAATGTGAAAAGCTAGACTATTAATCTATTTTTTAAAAAAACAACAGAGAATATCATGTAGCTGAGCCTGGTAGTGTAGGTTTGTAATCCCAATTACTTTAGAGCCAGAGGGTCACAAGTTCAATGCCAGCTTGGAGAACTTAGTGAGGCCCTATCTCAAATTAAAAAGTAAAAAGGGGGATGTGTGTGTGGGGGGAGGGGGTGTCAGTAATCCAGTAGGTAAAGTGCTTGCTTTGTAAACATGAGGACCTAAGTTTGATCCTCAGAACCCGTGATTTTTAAAAAAAGCCCTGCTACTTCCTCCTCTGCCACAGCAACCTCCAGGAAGAGAAGAAGCAGGAGAGGAGCCTAGCCCATGACCCGCATCCAACAGCACAGTGCCAGGAAAAGAAGTTCGTCAGTGCCAAGGTCTTCGCCTGCTACCTGAGCTGGATCGTATTGCATAGAGGCTAGTTTCTCTATCCGTGTAACCTTGACCAGAGGCTAGCACTGGAGAGAGCCCTACAGTAGTTAATGAAGCCCAGAGCAGCGTGTCTTCCGATTCAAAGAGAGTTTCTGGCCAGTGCAGCCAGCAGAGACATGGCTAATGCTGCCCAGTGCATCCTGCAGGTTCCCCAACAGGAGCACACCTGGTCCCCAAGCTGGGGTCCGGTGCCTCTGGCAGTCTTATCACTGGTTTTACCAGCAGTCCTTCCTTCACGGAGGCAGCAGCTGTTTTCATGGGCTGTCCTGACGTCTGCCTTGTCTGAAGCTGTGGGTCTCTTTGTTTGATGGTTTTCTTATCTTTGCTGTGTAACAGAAACTACAGCTTGAAATGCTGGCATTCCCTAGTAACCACAGATGTAGTTCTTCATATCCAGTTGTGGCTAAAAACTGCAGAGTTAGTGCCATGGAAATGCACATATTTCCCAAGTCATTTCATTACATAAGAACATCAGTTTTGGCTGTGGATTGTACTTGTCTGACATTGAGCCATCGCAAAGAAGATAGCACATTCAGCAAGACTGTCCAGTGCAGAGGGAGGTGTAGAATCACCCAGAGATGGGAAGGAACCTCACGGGGGGGGGACGACACTTTAGTGCCAGTCAGTGTTCCGGAGGCAGAGGAAGATGAATCACTGTGAGTTCAAGACCAGCATGGTCTACATGGAAGCTCCATACCAACCAGGGCTACAAAGTGAGGCCCTGTCTCAAAACAAACAAACAACTCACTAGACCCCCCCCAATACTTTTCCATACTGAAACCAGAAACTTAATACCAAACACAATTAGATCATGAAATTTCCCCCAAATTATAGGCATGTTCTTAAATTGTTTTCTCTTTTAATTCCACTATCAAGTAAAATAAAAAATAGAAAGTAAAGGATTGGTGCCCCTGCTCCCAAAGAACTTCGATGAAGAGGCTGAAATCAGTCTAAAACGTCAGGTCAGTGTGGGGCCGGAAACTCCTCTTAACCCCACTCCTCCCTCTCCAGACCTCACCCTCTCCGAAAATCTGCCAAGAGCCCAGGCTCCTTCCCTGAAACTCAAGATGGTGCCTATGGGGCATTTAAGCCCCTTCCTCTGGACAGGGGAAAAGATTTCTCCTGCTCCCTTCCACCGCCTCACCTCTGGGAGCTGGAAAGACATCCAGGTGTGCTTGACCCAATAAACCTAGTCTTTTTAATTAGGCTTGATCTGGCTTATTGCATTGGTGGAAGAACCTAATATAGGGGTAAGCAAACCTATTTTCAGTCCAGATCAGGTGAGAAAGCCCAGGACTCTTGGCAGAGGATCCCTCCCAGGGAAGAGTTGACACAGATCCCCTGCCTAGTAGAAGTTCAGAACCAAGAGGCTTCCATTAAAAAACTCAGTGAGCCTTGCCATACCAAGATAAGCATGTTCTTAACTGTTCCAGTGTCTTAACAGATCCAGTGTCTTAACTTTTCATTCCAAAAGTATATCTTCATCACCATCACCATCAACATATTATTATTATTGTTATGGTTATTATTATTGTGTGGATGGGTGTTTCGCCTGCATGTATATGCACCTTGTGTGTGCAGTGCCCACAAAGGCCAGAAGAGGGTGTCAGATGCCCCAGAACTGAAGTTACAGATGGTTGTTAGCTGCCATGTGGCTGCTAGAGCAGCCAGTGTTTTAACCACTGGGTCATCTCTCCTCCTCTCCATGTCCCTTTAATGCTAGGGCTTTGGGGAGATTTGTTTGCTTGTGTTGTGAGAGTTTAGGGGAAGGAAGTCTGGTCCCTCTCCAAAACACTAAACAGGGTGGATTATTTAGACAGCTCAGGCAACATCCATTCGAAGGACACAGGCCATGCACTGTGGGACATAGCTAACAGAGTGGAACTCTGGGATGATGACATATTGCCCCTCTCTCACAGTCAAAAAGAGAATTGGACCGCAAATCCTAGAGTAGAGACCCCTCTGGAGCTGCTGAACAATGGGTGGTCGTGGGGCTGCTGCTGGGACCATGGGAAGCCCAGAGCTCAAGCTCTTGCAAGTGACTCAACCCTGTGCCTTTTCACTTTGACTGTCATCCTGGCTTTCTGCCTAAACAGACACCTGGTCAGAGCAAGGGCTGGACATACTCAAGGGAGACAGCAACAGAACTGGGTCCACTTGGCTGGCAAGTCACCAGAAGCCAGACTGGCAATCAAACCATGAACACCCACATCCCCCAAACCCACACGGCCAATGGTTGCAGGCTTCCATGGGAGGAAGCCCATTCACAGAAGAGGGGCCTGCTTTCTTCCTGTCCGCCATTGCTAATGTTCTCTTTAGCATCTAGTCATTAAGCCACATGAACAAAGCTTTCTGAGCCATGGGGGAAATTCACAGTGTTGGGAAAACATATTGCAACATCTTTTCAGGATTACCGTGTCTCTTTACTCTGGGCCTTTATTTATCTTTCTGTCATGTGACTTAAGTAGGACATGAAGAATAATCCTTACACCACAGAGACCTGGGCTTGGGGCTCAACTAACTGGGATTAAAACAAACCCTAAGTCATGTCCCAAATAACTGTTGTTCAACAGGTGATACACTTAAATGCTGCCCTTAGTTGGGGGCTACAGGCAAAACCTGTAAGACCCAGTGGTACACGTCTGTAGTTCTAGCTGCTTGGGAGCTGAGGCAGGAGGATTTCTCAAGTCTAGAAATCTTAGGTCAGCCTTGAAAACTGGAGAGATCTCTAAAAAAACAAACAAACAAAAACCTCTGAATTATTCCTGATGTTTTCCTTGGTGAGTTCTTTCCTTGAGGGTGAATCTGTGACCCCAACAGAGCAGCAATCCAAACTACATCTCAGCCAAGTGTGGTAGAGTGCCTTTAAGCCCAGCACTCTGCAGGCAGAGGCAAGAGGATTTCTCTGAGTTTGATGCCAGCTGGTCTACATGGTGTGCTCCAGGACAGCCAGTAGTACATAGAGAGACCTTGTCTCTAAACAAAATAAAACTATATCTCCCTCTAGTTCTTCCCTTATACTCTTTGAGAAGTTTTCAATGCCAGTGTATTTTAGTATATTTTAAATATGGAGACACATTCAATTTTTTTTTAGAAGAAGCCAGGGCCAGGAGATGGTGGTGCACACTTTTAATCTCAGTGCTCAGAGGCAGAGGCAGACAAATGAGTTTGAGGCCAGCCTGGTCTACAGATTGAGTTTCAACACAACCAGGGCTACACAAAGAAACCCTGTCTCAAGAAACCAAAAATAAATAAAGAAAATAAAAATAAACCAAGACGTAGAGTGATGGTTCAGTGGTTAAAAGGACTGTCTTATCTTCCAGAGGACCCAGGTCTGATTTCCAACAACCACATGGTGGCTCATAATTGTCTGCAACTTTATTTCATAGGTCTCTGACACCCAATTCTGGCCACCAAGGGCACAAGACATACATGTAGTGCCCGGACATACCTGCAGGTAAAACACAAGTAAACACAGATAAAAATAAAATAAAAATACTGTTTCTTGAAAAACCAGTAAGATTAATGAAGTAGTTTATTTCACCCAATGTGTCCAAAATATTACCATTTCAACAGACAGTTAACATTGATTTGCAGTGTTTTCATTGTTTTTTGTTTGTTTGTTTGTTTGTTTGCTTGCTTGCTTTTGAGACAGGATTTCTCTGTAGGATGGTCCTGGCTGTCCTGGAACTCACTCTGTAGACCAGGCTGACCTCAAACTCACTGCCTTTACCTTCCAAGTGCTGAGGTGAAAGGCGTGCGCCACTTCTGCCTGGCTGTTGTTCCTTGTTTTGCTTCTGAAGCCTTTACAATGTGCTGTGCATTTTATACTCTGAGAACAACTCAGATCTTTGCTGGCATACTTCAAGGGTTCATAGGGTTTCTGGTTTAGTAGAAGTTTGAGCACCAAGTCTGAATGCCCCAGCTTGACCTTCCAGATCTTTCTTTCCAACTGACCAGGCATGCTTATCCTAAGCAGAGAAACCATAGAGAGCTCATCTCACTTTCCATCTAGTTCCATGAGAGCCCAGAGATGCCAAGGACTTGTTAAGTGGCAACATAGAGACTTCCCTAAGCTTCTAGAGCATACAGGCCACTTGATGCTGGTAAGTCCTGTCACTTAGAAAAACTGTCAGTGGAGAGAATTATCAGCAACAAATGGATGGGGCCTCCCCTGGTTCACTGAGGGGTTAGCCGATCTCAGCTTCTCAGAACTGGGTGCTGAGAGTTAGTCACTCACAGCCAGCCCCGTGACCGGCTCTGGTGGGGAGCTGGTCTTCTGGAGCTGTAAACCACAGGGATTTGGAGAGGATCACACAGAGGGCAAAGCTGAGACCTCACCAAAGATGTACCACCAGTTCCCTGCTGCTGGTCACCCTAGGATAAGGCCGGGGTCTCCCCTGGGCCTATACCTGCCAGAGCAAACAGGAGCCAGAGAAGTAGATGACACACAGTCCTACCGAAGGCAAGGGCTTGGGAAGACAGCCCACAGAAAGACGGGTTCTGGCTGCTAAGGGAATGAAGAGCGTCAGAGGCCTCTCAGCGGCCCGTTCCAGAATTCTCTAGACTTTCACACTGGCCAGAATTCCCTCCAGGAATCTTTTTAGAGTAAGGATGCTGCTTTTGTAGGTTTGGGCGGGCCTTGATTCAGCTTCCTAACCATCCCACATGACAGCTAGGTACCACATTTCTGAGCAAGAGTGTATGTACATTTACCCAAAGAGTGACCTAAAGGCAAGGAGGCCCAGTCACGCTGGGGAGGGGGGCTGTTTCCCCCCACCAAGATGGCTGGGTCTACAGGGGTAGCTGCCAGTACTCTGTGCCTGGGGCACTCACTTAATTCTATGACTATTTTGTGTGTGTGTGTGTGTGTGTGTGTGTGTGTGTGTGTGTGTGTGTGTGTGTGTTAGAGATGGAAGCCAGGGCTGCCCACATTAGGCAATGTCATTTAGTCTTCACAAGAGCCCTGGGAGCAGGTGACTGCTGTTGCTCTATTTACAAACGAGGAATCTAAAGCCCAAGAGGCTCTGGAGACATTCCCAAGCAGGTAAGAGATGAAGCTGGGATTTGAACCCAGGCCACCTGGGAGACCAAGGCTAGAGTAAGTCATCTTGGCTCAGTGGTAACAAGTTTGTAAAATTCTTATTGTGAAAATCCTTTCAAACTATGGAGAGCTCCTTCACCTCTGTGGCCCATAAAACATCCCTTACTTCCAACAACTTCAAAGCTGGCCTGTATTTATTTATTCTAAATTAAAGTTTAGTTTCTTGGGAATTCTGGAAGATTGTTACAAGGCATTAAGTATTTAAGGAATTTTATCTCTAACTTCCTCACTCTGGGGGACAGGCCCTATTGATACAAACACCGCTGGCTCATTTTTTCTCTGGAGGCTGTACTAGCCAGGTAGGCCCAGGGGTTTTTTGTTTTGTCCTGCTTGATTGTTGGCACCTGTGGTTCTGAAAGGGACTGCAGGGGTTGGGGATACAGGGGTGGGGGCTGAGTGTGGGGGTCAGGAGTGGGGTGCAGCTTCCAGGTTTCAACGTGTTGGCCTCCAGTTCACTCTGTGGCATGACTTCAGGCCTCCTGGGGCCTCAGCTCCCTCATCTGTGCCATGAAGGGTGTGCTCTCTGCCTAGATTTTCCTCACAGCTAGTGACTCTCTCTGTTGGCCATGCAGAAAGAGACAAGGAGTCCCCAGAGAAAGCCCAAACCACGTTGTAGCATGCTTGTTGAGCAAGCCTTGTTACTGACTCAGATTTCCTCCTTTTGCATCTGGGTCATCCCATGTCTCCATTTTCCACACACACACACACACACACACACACACACACGTTCTCACTACTCACCTTTCCTCTTGTGGCCCAATCATCCGTTTTGTTTTGTTTTTATTCATTTTTTTGTTGTGTGCATGTACATGTATATGTGTACATGTTCATATCTATGTGAGTACACATGTACAAACTTGTGTGTGGAAGTCAGAGAACAACCTGGGGTGTCTCATTTCTCAAACTGTCATGGTGGCAAAGACCCAAAGGGCCACAAAACAACAGTCTGAATTTGAGAGCCTTTATTAAGCAAAAATCAGCAGTTAGTTGAGACATTTTGACTTCAAATCCCTGGGACAAGGTTGGGTAATTTTCTAAGTTTTTCATAGAGGTGTGTGTGTGTGTGTGATGAGAGAGAGAGAGAGAGAGAGAGAGAGAGAGAGAGAGAGAGAGAGAGAGAGAGAGAGAGAGAGAGAGAGAGAGATTGGGATGGGTACTAGGGGAGAGTCAGCTCTGAGTCAGACCTTGGATGGCTGTTGTGGAAACAAGATGGAGGAACCTTAGTGGCCCTGTCACATTCCCCACTGGTCTAAGGAAAATTAGTCAAATCAGATTCATCCTGCTCTGAAATGGTGTAGCTTGTCCTAAGGACAATTGAGTTGGCCAAATTAACCCTCTGTTTTACAAAATAGTGCATTGAGTTTAAGATGCAAGGTGCTATGTTAAGCCAATGAGAAAGAGAATTAGAGGCCCAGAGACTAGCACCAGTGGTCTGCTTTATGTCTCTGGTTTTTTCTCTTTTTGATACTTTTTCTAGCCATGGCAAGATTTTAATTATTCCTGATTGATTAGCATAGAAATAGCTGGTTTCTCCTAATGCTACACACAGTCCTCCAATTTCATAAGCATTAAGTGTAGCCCTGGCTGGCCTTGAACTCACAGAGATCTGCCTGCCTCTGCCTCCCAGGTGCTGGAATTAAAGGGGTGCACCACCACTGCCCAGCTCTACAGAGATCATTTAAAGGCAAAAACCATATCCAAGTTGGCAGTTGCAGGGAGAAGTAGAGCAAGCAAGCAGTATAACAGAAGCAAAATCAGCAGTTAGCTGGGGCATGTTGATCTCAAGTCCCTGGGACAGCGTTGGGTAATTTTCTAATAGACTTTTCCATAAGAGATCTATGTGTGTCATCTTTGAGTCAGACCTTAGATGGCTACAACAGGAACAAGATGAAGAACCTTGGCCCCATCACAAGATGTCATCCATCTTGTTAAAAACAAAACAAATGAGAACTTTTAGTTGCATTTATTTGTCTGTGCATTGCAAGGATGGGATGACCCACATGCCACACTTCAGTAGTAGAGGTCAGAGAACATTTTTCAAGAGTTGGATCCCCGGTTATTGGGTTCTTCCATTGCCGATGCAATAAGCCAAATCAAACCAAATTAATATGTCCAGATTTAATCAGCAAAGCGAAGCAAACACTCCTGGGGGACTCTCAGGGAGGCAAGAGAGAGAACAGGAGAGCACACAGCAGATCTAAGGCCAGGAAGGTGGTCTTGAACAGTTCCAGGGGAGGAGCCACCAATGGCAGGCTTTCTGGAATGAGAGGAGTGGGGCTGGGTGGTGCTTCCTAACAGTTCTCTCTCCCACGGTGTGGGTTCCCTAGATCAAACCCAGGTAGCACATCTTGGCAGCGAGTGCCTTTGCCTGCTGAGCCATTCTGCTCCTGTCTGCCCTCCCACATACCTTGTCTCTTTAGATAGGACTCTCACTGGCCTGGAACTCACAAAATAGGCGACGCTGGCTGATTTGCTGCCACCTCTCCAGTTCTAGGACCTCGGGTGAGGTGTGGAGAGCAGAGGGAGGATGTGGGTTAGAACTGAGAGGAGACAGATTTATCCAGGGTTCTAATGTGTGTCCTGCTTGTAAGGCAAACACTTTGTCTGCTGACCAATCTCCCCAGCCCAATATGTTGTTTACTCATTTATCTATCTATTCATTTATTTATTTATTTTGCAGTCTTGGGCATGACAGACAAGTACTTTACCACAAAGCCCCACCCTTCAACAGGAAATTTGTATCCTGTCTGACCTCTTCTGGGCTGGCCTCTCTCCCTTAGCTGCACCTCCTTCATTGGCCCCCTAATTCCCACTCAACCCATGAGACTTCCTTGCTTGGTTCCTGGACCCTCTGCTCTCCTTAATTCCCCAAATCTGTCTCCTCTCAGTTCTAACCCACATCCTCCCTCTGCTCTCCACACCTCACCTTCTCTGCCACCGCCGAGGTCCCCTTCTCCCTTGGCCTGCGAAGCAAGCTCCAAGGAGGCCTGCATGGCAGGAGCCTGCTGAGGTGACTTCAGGCCATGCTTGTCCTTTCACTGTCTCTGACTTCTTGCTCATCGTGTTCTGCAGCTGTCATCTTATCACCTGGAGGCTTTTGAGAACAAGTGACCCATTGCCTATTAATGGCTTAAACAATAGGAACATTGAATTGTCAAGCAATTGACCATGAACTCTTGGGGGTTAGTTTGACAGCTCAACTGTGTCACCAAAGACTTAGAACCTTCCTCCTTAGGTCATCCTTAACTCTCTCTCTCTCTCTCTCTCTCTCTCTCTCTCTCTCTCTCTCTCTCTCTCTCTCGTGTGTGTGTGTGTGTGTGTGTGTGTGTGTGTGTGTGTGTGTGTGTGTGTGTGTTGGGTGCCCTTGCCTGTTCATGTGGCCAGAGGTTGACTTCAGAGTATCTTTCTTTATTGGTTGTTCTATTGCTATGAAGAGACACCATGACCACTGCATTTAATTGGGGGGTTGCTTACAGTTTCAGAGGGTTAGTTCATTGTTATCACAGTGGGTAGTATTGGGACATGCAGCCAAGCGGCAGAGCAGTAGCTGAGAGCTACATTCTGATGCATAGGCAGGGAAGCAGAGAAAGAGAGAGACACTTGGCTTGGCATGGATTTTTGAAACCCCAGCTCACACACTTCCGCAAACAAGACCACACCTCCTAATCCTTCTAATCTTTTCAAAGAGTTTCATTCCCTGGTGACCAAGCATTCAAATATATGACCTAGGAGGACCATTCTCATTCAAACCACAACAGTCTCCACTCTGTTATGTTTGCTTGTTTGTTTCTTTGTTTGCTTGTTTGGAGACCACGTCTCTCACTGAACCTGGAGTAGCGTTTTACTTAGGCAGCTGATCAGGGAGTTCCTGGGATGTGGCTATCTCTACTACACCTGGCTTTTTCAAATAGGTTCTGAGTAACCAAGCTCAGGTCCTCATGCTTGCCCAGCAAACTCTTTACCCACTGAGCCCCCTCCCAGCCTGTGGTTCCAGCTAAGAATAGCACAGACTTTCCCTGCAGCATCCACGAAGGAAAGGGGCATTGCCTTTACCCCGGATGGTCTCTTTTTCAAAATCGTTCTCCTTTTCAGAAAGTGTTAGCAAGTGTGAATCCCATCCCCACCCCCACCCCCAGGCTAGGCAAATACAGAGCCATCAGTGTTCTGTCCAGAGATGAGACAGAATGAACTTTAGGAAGGGATCTTGGTTCTGTTGCCCCTAGACTGCCTTGCTGAACCAGCAGCATTGATGTCAACTGAGAACTCGGCACAGTGCAGCCTCGGGCCTTACCCTGTGCCTCAGCAATCAGGTAAGATCTCCAGTCTGAAGGGGCTGTCCTAAAAAAGAGACCCAAACACCCAAAAGGTGTACCCTTTTAATCCCAACACGGGGGAAAAAAAGGCTGAGGATCTCCGAGTGTGAAAGCGGCCTGGTCTGCATAGTGACCCCCAGGTCCAGGTCATCCAGGGCTACACAGTGAGACCGTGTCTCAAAAGAAAAGGGGGAAGGGACTGGAGTCAAGTTCAGGGACCAGTACTTTTACTGGGGCTTAAAGTGCAGCTAGGAAGGGAGGGGGAAAGAGGGCATGACGGCAGCATGTAAGGAGACGCAGCTGGTATCTGTGCAGAGAAGAAACAGGGAAACTTGGCCTCTCTGCTGGTTCTCACCACCATCTCCCCATCCATCAAAGACTGAGCCACCAAATTAACCATACTCTGCTCTGTTTGAAGCCAAATCAATCTTATGTCTTGCTGTAGGGTACTTTACCAGTGTCCGAAGGATCAGGGAGCCAGAACCGGTAGGCCTTGGCAGCAGCGTGGCAACATCTGCCACAGGAGGCAGAAAGGAAGCCCTGTGGAGACCGGCTCTACCAGGGCCAACAGCTGCCAGGGTGGGTGAAGGGAGGCTGCATGTGCTGCTCCGTTGGTGCTCCAGGTGCAGTCTGGGAAACAGGGAGGGGCTGTGTCCTGCGCAGCCCTCTTCACTCCTAGAAGGAGGCTTTATATTTTAATAATCTCCGTGGAGAGCCCAGCACATAGTTGACCTGAATAGTGCTGCTTAAGTAGATGATGCTACAGGTTTGCTTTGCTTTTCTGTTGTTGGGAATCAAACCCAGGGCCTCAAGCATATGATCAGGACCTCTCCTAGTGAAATGCATGTTGGTACTCGCTGGTTGGGATGGGGCCCGGAAGAGGAACTACAGGGGTGTGTCCCCCGACTCCAGGGGTGGGATTCAATCTGCAGGAGCAGGTAGGTGCTAGCAAGCTGAGGCAAAGCCTTGGGTTTTGTGTCTTTCACATCTACCTGCCTCCCTTCTGCTTTCCACCATGTGTCATCTGCCAGGTTTCCTGAGTCATCAGTGACATTTTCCATTCTCCAGCGCACCCCGCCCCCAAATTGGTCTTTTTTTTTTTTTTTTTTCTCCTGGTTAGCTTCCCAAGCACTGGGATTGCAGGTCTGTACCACCATATCCTGCTAGATCTCTTTCCTTTGTAAACTACTGGTCTCGGGCACTTTGTTACAGCAACAGAAGACAGGCTAAGGTGGGAAGAGGGGGTGAATTCAAACATTTGTTCTTGGGTTTTTTCTTACCTTCAGTACCTATGTGTCCACTCTGCCAGTGCCCTCACTTTACTTGAAATGACCGGGTCCCCTCAATGGTCACACTCAAATGCTGACCTGCTTAAGTACCTGAGATCAAAGGCTCCTTGTAGGGCCAGTCTTGGTGGCACAAGTCTGTAGGTGCCAGTATTTGGGAGGCTGAGACAGGAGGATCTCAAGTTTGAGGTCAGCATGGGTTATATATTGTCTCAAAACAAAGCAAAAACCCCTCTTTTATCCTTAACAAAACAACAGAATTTCCACCGGAGTCTGAGATCATGAGCCGTCTAGACATTTATTCGCTTTTGAATAATGCCACTGTTTTCGTGGCTTTTATGGTGAGCCACCTCAAACACTTTTTTGGAAGTGGGTGTGGTATAAATAATAAATAAACGAATGAATGTCTGGAAGTATGGCTGTTCTTACTTGACCTCAGGAGGCCGATTACCTCTGTGATAAGCCCATCTGGCTCCCAATAAACGGGATGCTTGGGCCCAGCCAAGCTCTAAAACTGCAACTACTGTGGGGGATGGGGAGGCTGGGGCCAGTCTGAGACTTACAATTGCTTTTGGCCCCAGCTTGGGTGCATAGAGTGAATTCCGCTCAGGAAAAAGGGACTGAGGTGTCATTATCCTGTGTGATGGAAGATTCTTCCATTTGTGCTCCAGTATCCCCAAGTGTATGACAAAAGATTTGGGTTCCATGACCTCTAAGTTTGCTTGCTTTACTTTTCTGAGACAGAGTTTCTCTGTGTAGCTCTGGTTGTCCTGGAACTCGCTCTATAGACCTTGCTGGCCTTGAGCTCAGAGATCTGTCTGCCTCTGCCTCCCAAATCCGGGATTAAAGGCGTGCACCACCACCACTGCTTGTGTTTCCCAAGGGAAGTGGAGCCGCCTGCTGGGAGTGGGACACAAGTTATGGCACCCGGCCCACTTTCGAAGTCAACCACATGTGTGGCTCTTGGCTCTCCTTAAGGCGTGGAGACCACCATAGTGCCCCTGCTTTGCAGTATTGTTTTCACAGTGTTGGGGGAATCAAGCCCCAGGTCTTGCCCATGCTGAGCTCCTCAGAGCTACACCCCTAGCCTGGAGTTGGAACCTCTGGGGTTGCGCTTTCTTAGCAGATAATTTGGTAACAGGCAGTCCCTGGTGCTTTTGGGTTCAGCGTAGGGCACTGTATCCTCCATGTCCCGTGTGAGGTCAATTACCAGTCCCCTACTCACCTGCCCACCAGGACAGAACAGAAAGAAGGAGGGAGAGCAGAAAGAGGGCTGCTGGCAGGTGTGGAGATCGCTCCCGTGCATGAAGCATCTGAAGGGACCCAGTCTGAAGGAGCATAGGGTGTCCCTGGCGTGTTTCTCTGCTTCTGAATTCGTGTAGGAGGACCAGGCTTTATCTTCACCCCAAAGCCGCCTCCCTTCATCTTGAGTCTGGCAACGGTTGCGTGACTTCTCAGAACAGAGAGTGAAGGGCTCTTCTGAACCTGTTCACCTTCCCCACAGTTCTTGAACGTTCCCTGCATCCTGGTGTGTACCAAGCAGTCAGTTGAGTGTTTTCTTCTTTGCCTCACTCTGGGAAGAGAGATAAGCCTGTTCTGGCTAGCGAGTGGAACACTCAATCAGAGCAACTCCAGCCTCATGCCTCACGCCACTCTCTGGCTGCCTTTACCTGCGGCTACCAGTCAGCAGGCGGACACTCACTTCCTTCCATTTCACAGCTGAGAAAACAGAGGCTCGAGGCATTCAGTTTCCACCGCTGCTGTAACCAGGTGGCGCACATCTCTAACCCCAGTTTGGAGGCAGGTAAGACAATCTTTGTGAATTTGAGGCTAGCCTTGTCTAAATGATGGGTTCCAGACTAGCCAGGGCTACATAGTTAAGGCTCTCTTCTCTCTCTCTCTCTCTCTCTCTCTCTCTCTCTCTCTCTCTCTCTCTCTCTCTCTCTGTCTCTCTCTCTCTCTGATCTACTTGCCCCTGTCTCCTGAGTGTCGGGATTAAAGGTATGCACCATCACCTCCCAGCAAGGCTTACACTCTTTCTACCACGTTCTGTCCTCATGAACTTTGGGAATATATTCAAGTCATTCATTTTTTTTATTGGGTATTGGTTGATGGCCAGACACTACCCACTGAGTCCAGGGAGACAGTGCAGTTCTGTAGAGCCCATCACAAGGATCATGGATGGGCATCTCTGTCCCTTTGTTTTAGAAATGTCCTGAAAGGCACTGGATGCTAGGAAGACACACTTTGCTCACACACAGCACTTTCTCTCCTTTCCATAATGGACAGGACGAGAGAAAAAGCAGAGGATTCCTAACCCTGGAAGCTGGGGTCAGGAATACGTGATCACATAATTTCCGTCTCTAGCCTCTAGTGCATAAACACCTTCCCCCAAGGAATTTTCTTCTACATGCCAGTTCTAAATCAATGCCTTTCACTAGCTCATCATTCATTGGGTAACTGTTGACTACACACGTACTTTGTGGGGGCCCCATTCTAAACCCTTGTTATATATAAAAGAACAAACAGCCAGGGGTGCCTCCTGGGACTGGCACTCTGCTGGAGAGGAGTATGCTAAAGTAGGCATGGTAGGTGAGTTAATTATGCAACATATCCAAAGTATACAGCAGGGTGAGCAACGAAGGAGTGTTGACAGAATGTGGACCGCATGTCAGGAGTGAGGGTAAAGTGGACCTCATCAAGAAAGTGATGGCGGCTGGAGCGATGGCTCAGTGATTAGGTACTGCTCTTCCAAAGGACCCAAGTTCAGTTCCCAGCATCCCTGCCAGACTGCTCACGACCGCCTGTAACTCCAGCTCCAGAGGTTCTGACAACTCTTCTGACCCCTTCGGGCACCTGCACTGAGGTGCGCACACAATCATATACACACACTCATACAAATATTCTCTCACACACACACATACACACACACAATCATATACACACACTCATACAAATATTCTCACACACACACACATACACACACACAATCATATACACACACTCATACAAATATCTCACACACACATACACACACACAATCATATACACACACTCATACAAATACTCTCACACACACTCACAATCATATACACACACTCATACAAATACACACACACAATCATATACACACACTCATACAAATACTCTCACACACATCTCTCTCTCACACATCTAAAAATAATAAAGCTTCACAGGTTTTAAAAAGCCGAGCATGGTGCACACCTCTCATCCCAGCACAGGTCAGAGGTGAGTGGATCTCTGTGAGTTCCAGGACAGGCAGAGCTACATAATAGAAAGAACCCACCTCAAAACAACAACAAAAATAAAACCACACACAAAACAGAAAGAAATAGTCACACCCGCGGCTCTCATTTCGAGGTTTTGATCGATGTTGCAGCTTACACAAGGATCTTGGGTTTCCTGGGATGCTATGCAGGGGCAGCTGGAAAGTGAACGTGTAAGTGTTAAAATGGCTGGAGGAGACTCTTGGGCAATGCAGCCTCGGTCACATAGAGAGACAGTGAGGAAGGGCCCTGGCCTCTGTAGGATCACAGGGTGGTTGCTGGGCTTACAGAGCCTGGACTGGTGGGTCTGACATGTGCCTCTTTTGGACAGCATGTGCTGGCAGCCCCAGGATGGGGACAGAGGTTGATCCTCCCTCCCTCGGGTCTCCAAAGCTAAGCAAGGCTCCTAACATCCAGCACCCACCCATCAGAGTTTACTGAGATGCAAGCATCAGAACCATCTGGAGTTTAGAATGGGAGCCAGGCACAAGCCAAGTAAAGTGTAACAGATACCAAGTATACCATAAAACTTGGGTTTAGAGCACCTGGGAGGCAGAGGCAGGCGGATCTCTGTGAGTTCGAAACCTTCCTGGTCTACATGAGCTGGCAAGACAGACTCCAAAGCCACAGAGAACCCTGTCTCAAAAAGCCCAAGGGGACAAGAAAATGAAATGTTTTTTATCTCCCTGACCTGGTAAGACTTTCACGAAAGGTTTTAATCCTCCCTGTCTAGTGAAACCTTCCTTTACACAAAGGCCTGCCACTCCATTCTGAGAATGTTAAGTGACCCCTTTCTCTTTGGTGCAGTGAACTCTTTCCCTTCCCCCTTCGTTTCCTGTGCTAACTGAGTGAGATTGACGTTAGACCTCAGTGGATAGAAAAGACCCAGCCACCACCTGAGTTAGAATGAAAACCCAATTCACTTCCCGTCTTCAGGTGTTGACTCTTCCAGTGCACCTTCCTGATCAAAAGTAAAGTCCTCGGGACTGGGGAGGTGGCTCAGCAGCTAAGAGCAGCACCGCTCTTGCAAGGACCAGAGCCCGGTTCTGAGTGCCGGCGTCAGATGCTCACAACCACTCGTCCTTCCAGAATCAGAGGATCCAAAAGCCTCTTCTGGCAGCCACAGACAACCACACTCATATGCACACACCCTCACAGACACACAGGCACACACACATACACACACACACAATTAAAAGTAAAACTGATGGCAGCAGTGGCACACACCTTTGATCCCCAGCACTCTGGAGGCAGAGGCAGGTGGATCTCTGAGTTCGAGGTCAGCCTGATCTACAGAGCAAGTTCCAGGACAGCCAGGGCTACACAGAGAAACCCTTTCTAAAACAAAACAAAACAAAACAAAAACTTAAATAAATAAATTAATTAAATAAAAGTAGTACTGGTGGTGGTAGTGGCCCAAACTTGGGAGGCAGGGTCAGACTCTGTGAGTTCAAGGTCAGCCTGGTCTGCAGAGCGAATTCCAGGACAGCCAAGGCTACTCACAGAGAAACCCTGTCTCAAAATCAAACCAAAGCAAGCAAACAACCAAGGAAAACTGAATCTTTTTAAACAGAAAGAGAGGGTGCCGTTTGCCATGTCCAGCACTTAGTTGTGGTGGTGATGTCTTTCTAATCTCAACAGTCTTCCTGGGACACTGGAACTTCAGGTGAGGAGGATCCTGGGAAATTTGCTCCGAGGTGGTACAGAGCCTGCTGCCTCCCTTGAAGCGTGACAGTGTGGTAGCTGTCACTGTGGTATGGGAGGCTGTTTTGGTTACACGAATCAACACTATGAAATACATGGCTATAGGGACTTTCCAAATGAACCTTCCTTCTAGTTCCCTGTCTTTCCCTGGAAGTGCTCCTCCCGTGAGCACCTGTGTCCCACATGTAAGGCGCTCCTATTCTCCAGGGGTTTCTGGCACAGCCCACGGCCAGGAGGAGGAGACCCGTGTCTCTTCTGAGGACTACTCTAATCAGGAGTAAAATGCTGGACCCAGGACAAGGGGTGGAGCCTGCCTTCAGGGACCTTGGAGCTGGGATGGAGAGTGCAAGCAATCACACCTACACTTAAGTCACGGTAGAGAAAAAGCACAAGAGGAAGCGCATGGAGCCAAACCCTGAGTAATTCCCGATAGTGAGGAAGCCGAGACTGGAAGATTAATGATCAAGGCCCGCCTAGGCTACAGACTGGGTCAAGCTGCCCTGGGCAACTTAGCACCCTTTCCAGGTCTCTTTACATAGTCCTGGCTGTGCTGGAACTCCCTCTGTAGACCTCTGCTTTGAACTCAGAGATCCACTTGCCACTGCCCCAGAGTGCTACGATTAAGGACACCTAGCTGCATTTTTCTATCTTTCTAGTGTTCTGCAATGAAAGGAAAACAACAAAACTATTCTATTTGTAAGTATTACGGCAGAAGTTTGGCTTGGCATAAGGAAGACCTCCCTGGGTGGGGAGTGAAAAGACTCCCCAGGGGACAGGGCCCGCCACCCTTCTTACCTCAGCATGGACAGATGTCCCAGGGCCTAGAAGGGCCCACAGTAACTGGAGGGGTGTGTCAATCTCTCCCCAGAGTGATACTCCTGAAACAGACATAAAAGCAATTTGTGTTTCTAATTCTATTATCCCCGAGCCTGTCTTGTGCCTTGTGACACTCAGGAGCTGGGGATGTGAAGGGCCCGTCCAGAGGAGCTTGTGGCCTCTGTTCTGCTCCTTTGAGGGGGGCTGCTGTCAGGACCTCTGAGTCCACTAACGGCAACTCCATCACCACGCTCACCTCTCTTCCTAGGTCAAAGAATCTTAATTGTTTTCATGACCTCTTGCCAATAAAAGTGCACTGCCGCTGGGTGTGATTCCAGCACTCAGGAGGCAGAGGCAGGTGGATCTCTGTGAGTTTGAGGCCAGCCTGGTCTACAGGGTGAATTCTAGGACAGCCAGGACTACACAGAGAAACCCTGTCTGGAAAAACAAAACAAAAGGAAACAAAACATAAAGGAGCATTGTGCATTGCCACGCCACCTTTCTCAGAGTGTCCCAGGCGAGGCTTCCGTCTCCTCCTTCCGAACTCATTCTCTGGGTTCCTGCACTGCGCTGCTATACAGAGATTTACTACAGCACCTGCCACATCAGGAAGTGTGTGCTTGGTGCAAAGCCCTGGAAACACAGAGCTGGACAAGAAAAACTGCCCATTCTTGAGGAACTTGTGAAAACAAAGATCGAGTGATTAAACATATAAAGCAAGAACAAGGCAATAGGAGTGAGTGAATGTGAAGAAATAAATACTTCAAATAGCATGGCCCAGGGTGTACCTGTTGAATGCAACACTTCTCTGTTGATGTGTGTCTCTCCCTTTGTATGACATATACATATGTGTGTGTGTGTGCGCATGAGTGTGATTATATGTATAACTATATATACAGCTAATTCTTTGAGACTTTAATGCCCACATACGACGTATCTGGATCGTGTTCATCATCTTCTCCCAGACTGCCCCACCCACAACTCAATTTCTGTCTCTCTCTCTCTGTTTCCTTCCTTCCTCCCTGCTCCCCCTCACCCACCTGGTTCAATTTGTGTTGTCCATAAACACATGGATGTGGTGTCAGCCACTGGAACAGACCTACCAGGGGCCACGTTCTTAAAGAAAACTGACTCTCCCTGCCTAGAAGCCATCAACTGTCACTTGGTTTTCATTGAGGCATAAGGGTTCAGCTCCTAAGCCTCCCTCTCCCCTCTCCGTGTTGGAATGCGGACTAGCTCGATCTTGTGCAGCAGCCAAGGGCACTGTGAGTTCATGAGTGCAGCGTGCGGTCGTGTCCAGAGAGGGCTCTTTCAGTCTCCCCCCAAGTCTGACTCTTACAATATTTCTGCTCCCTCTTCTGCGATGGTCCCAGGGCCTTGGGAAAGGGGCTGTGGTGGATTGAGCACTCCACTGACACTGAATCTCTGCACTTTGACCCAGTTGTGAGTCTCTGGGTCAACAGCCAAAAGGCTTTGTTGTATTATACCTGTCCTCAGAGGTAGGGCAGAACTTGGCACACGGCAACAGTTAGGCAGGTTTGCACTGCCGAGAGGGAGTGCACTCTACTGCACAGTAAGTCTCAAGGCAGAGTTGTCCAGAGAACCCAGCACTGAATGGAACATAGAGGCGCAGAACAGAGATCTAAGCTTACCTTTGCAGTAGGCCTACTGTGTGATCCAGGGCAGTTTCCTAGCTCCCAAATCCAGAAAATGTGGACAACAGCACCGATCCGTTGAGTTATGGGGAGGGTAAGACTGAGGTAAGGTTTTCAAAGGGCTCCGATGGGACAGGGGTCATAGGCCTGACTGCTTCTACAGCACGAGGCACCAGGACCTGCGAGTTCTGACTGTAATGTTTACCTCCTTTCTCCTGGGTATGAGCAGGGAAGAACGAACCAGGGTCCGTGGGCACCTGACTTCAGGAGAGGAAGGGAATGGTGTGAGGGTATATTTCTATACGACTCCAAATTTCTACCCACTTCCTGACTTCTCCTTTAAACGATTTTAATCCCAGCACTAGGGAGGCAGAGGCAGGTGGATTTCTGTGAGTTCCAAGACCAACTAGAGTTCCAGGACAGGCAAAGATACATAACAGAGAGACCCTGTCTCGAAAACCAAAACAAAATGAGAAGGTGACCACACACGCACTTTTAAAATCTCACCAGTTAGCATGCTTGCTGAAATGTCTATGGAAAATTTGACTTGATTCTCAAATTTGCTAGTAAAAACGTCAAGCAAACTGGGGACAACTGGGAGGGGGGCTAAGTGGCTAAGATGTCATGACTATTTCTTGAGGCTGGGGCATGGCTGTATGGGATTTGTTTTCACCATTTGCTCCACTTTTACGTAGTTCTCCTAAGGTGGAAGCTCCGAGGCAGGGGGCCTCCCAGGCTCGGTTGTCCTGCAGCCTCAGGCATCTCCTTCACACTCATTCCATTCTACACCCTCTCAAGGCCCGGTCTGCTGTGATAGCTTACCGACATGAGAGCACTTCAGGGTCCCATGTAGCGTCCATGTTCTCCTCAGCAGTTTCTGATTCTTCTTGTTTTGTTTTGTTTTTCTAGGCAGGGTTTCACTGTGTAGCCCTGACTGTCCTAGGACTCACTCTGTAGACCAGGCTGGCCTAGAACTCAACCTCTGCCTCCTGAGTGCTGGGAATAAAGGCATGCGCCACCATGCCTGGCTGAGTCATCTCTCTAGTCCAGAATACAGGTGAAAATTACTAACGTTCCTCTGCTTTGAAGTCAATAAAAGAGACGCTGAAGCAGGGAGGAGGAATGGGAACAGGCCACTGTCATCCTAAAAGACACTTGGAGCTTTAAAAATAGGTACACCAGGCTGGAGGGCGACATCCACCGCTCTCAGGATGACCTAGGCTCATATTCCGGCACCCACATGGTGGCTCACAGCCATCTGGTATTTCAGGCCCAGGGATCCAACTCCTTCTTCTGCCCTCTGAGAACACAAAGTTTGCAGGTGACGCATATACATACATGCTGGCAGAACACTTACACATTAAAAAAAAGTTTCAAAATCTAAAAGGACAGAACAAAACAAATTTTTAAAATATGTATGCAAAATCACTAGAGTTGGAGTCATTAGAGCTTTGTTTTTAGTTTTGACTAATCCCTCCCTCCTTCCCTTCTCTCTCTCTCTCTCTCTCTCTCTCTCTCTCTCTCTCTCTCTCTCTCTCTCTCTCTCTCTTTCTTTCTTTCTTCCAAGACAGGCTTTCTCTGTGTAGCCCTGGCTGTCCTAGAACTCATTGTGTAGATCAGGCTGGCCTTGAACTCACAGACATCTGCCTACCTCTGCACCACCACCACTAAGTGACTAGTCATTTCTTAATGAGCATAACCTTAAAATTTCAGGAACAGGTGTCCAAATGTCAGAACACCAAATCAATACTTAAAGAAATTATACAAATCCTATATGTGTGTTTGATTAGTGTGTGTGTGTGTGTGTGTGTGTGCACCGTGTATAAAACAGAAAACCTAGGACTACTTTTGAGGAGTCTGTGGACAGCCAACAGGGCAGGTGTGTGAGGAAGCTGCCTTGGAACCCCTCCTGAGGGAGGCCTGCATAGCGCAGAAATGGGCACACCTACTGTGTTTCCTTTGTGGCTCCTTTTTATCACCGCCCAGGCTGGGAACAGCTGTGTGTGGGCAGAGCCAGGCAAGAAGCAGGAGGAAGACTGATGCCTGCCTGTCTCTGGCCTCCACCCCTGTCCCCCAGTCCTTTCCAGAGATGCACTACATCCTCACGCTCCCCACAGCATCAAGCTCCTTCCTCTCTCCCTCACACCACACCGCAGCCACAGAGAAGCCAGGCCTCCACCCACCTTCGCAGGCTCAAATGGAGGGCTGGCAGTTCCTCTGTTTCGAAGCCCACAAGATTCTGTAGGGTCCACTCTGTGAGCCTCTTTGTTCTGCTTTTGTTTTTCTCTCTCTTTTTTTTTTAGGGAGAGGAAGGGTATGTGTGTGCACATATATGTGCCTGTTCATTCATGTGAGTGTGTGTGCACATGTGGATATGTGCATACGTGTGTGTGCATGTTCATTCATGTGAGAGTGTGAGTATGTGTGTGCATGTGGATAAGTGCACATGTATATACCTGTTCATTCATGTGAATGTGTGTGCACATGTGAGTATGTACACGTGTCTATGCATGTTCATACATGTGAGAGTGTGTATATGTGGGTGATGTGCACTGTGTACGCAAGTTCATTCACATGAGACAGAGTGTGCGTGTATGTGGGTGGTGTGTACATGTGTGTGCATGTTCATTCATGAGAGAGAGTGTGCGTGCATGTGGGTGGTGTGTACATGTGTGTGCATGTTCATTCATGAGAGAGAGTGTGCGTGCATGTGGGTGGTGTGTACATGTGTGTGCATGTTTACTCATGTGAGAGATGCATGTTCATTCATGTGTGTGAGAGAGAATGTGGGGAGGTGGAGGTATCCTTGTTCACGTACTGTCTTATGATTTTTATTACGTTTACTTATGTGCGTGTGTGATGGGGGAACACATGTATGACTTGATGCCCATGTGGAGAAGAGAAAGACATCTTGCAGGAGCTGATTCTTCCCTTTCATCCTGTGAGTCCCTGGGGTCAAACTCAGGTCAACGGTGTTGGCAAGTTCCTTTACTCACTGAGCCATCTCTAGGTTTCTTTACCTACGTATTGAGGCAGGGTCTCTCCATGAACTCAGAGCTCAGGGTTTTACTGGTCTGGTTAGTAAGCTTGCCCCAGGAATCCCATCTCCACCTCCCAAGACTGGGACTGCAGGAAGCTGAACCGTTCAGACATGGGTGCTGGGGATCTGAAGCCAGGCCGCATGTTTACAAGGCAAGTGTTTTACCGCCTGCCTAGTTCCTAGTTCTTCTTTATAAATCCCAGATCCAACCACAGTGGCCAGCAAGTTATTGTAAATAAGAGAAAAAGCCTAGCCCTCAGGAGGGTGAGGCAGGAAGAGCAATGGGTTTAGGGCATTCAGAACTATCTGAGGCCCTCCAGACTGGTCTTGGGACACAGAGACCCTGCATGCGGTGGGGGGACGGAGGGCAGCATGACGTCTACGGTTCCTATTTCTGTGGACAGAGGTGTTTTATGAGGCAGAAGGACATGGATATTATTGACCCACTTGACAGAGAACTTGGGGGCCCATGGTCACAGATGGAGGGGTTAATGGCTGTCTCCCTCCACCGGAGGCTTGAAGTAAGACACAGGGTTTACCTAGAGAGGGTAAAGAGGCCAGACAGGAAAAGGAGAACAAGGAGGAAGAGGAACAAAATCGGAGGGTAGATGTGTCTAAAGTGTGTGTACAGAATGACAGAAAACAGGAAAGAGACCCTGCACTCACTGGGTGGAGGAAGCGAGCCTGGCCTGTCTCTCTCACATCCCTCAGAGGCAGTCAGGGTATGGAACAGAGGGCGGAGCAGACTAGAGGCGAACCCAGTAAGCCAAGGCCAGCAGAGGCCCAGTTGCTTCTAGAGAACATAGCTGGAAGGTGGTAGGTCACAAAACCCATTTCCGGGAGACAGGTGTGTGGCGCGAGAGAAGCGAACAGAAAACAGAAATAACTGAGTTTGCTGTCTCTCTTGGAGTCAGATCTCTGAGCCCAAAGTCCCCGTGGCACACTCAACCCCTGCTAACTGTGGCCTTTGCCCCCAAAGCCTCCTCTCCACCTTGTGTGTTTCCGCAGCTACGTGACATTTTCAGAACAGTTTTAAACTTGTAGGCTGTACCTGCCAAACCAGAATGTCTGGCCAAGTTCTGTTATGTAAAACATCCCCAGCCTCTGGGTGCCAAGGGTAACTGCAGCTGTGGTCCAAGGTGTGGGCTGCAGGTAAGGAGTAGCCAAAGAGGGCAGAGGTAAGAGAGTGAGTTCCCTTCCCTCCCGGAAGTCAGACCGGGTCTCTGAGGGATGTGAGAGAGACAGACCAGGCTTGCCTGCCCCACCCAGGAGTGTTACAGTCCTCCATCTCTGCTCGGGAATCCCTGGAGAATTCGGGCTAGATCTGGGAATGAGGCATCATGTAGGCTGGGCAAGGCAAGAGCTCACCCTGAACCTGTGACGCTTCCCCCGGTGCCTCTACTCAAAGACAACAGCAGATGAACTCCTGCCCTGAGGAGAACAGGGCCACATGACTTCTAGAAGACCCTGTCCAGTCAATGATTCATGGTGTGCTGGGAAGGTCTTAGACCAGGACCCAGAAGCCCTAGTGTCTAAGTGCTCATTTGGAACAAGACCAAATCTAACAATGGGTTTGCAGAATTAAGATGAGGAGGAGAGCTTATCAAAGTCCAGCTGGCCCCCAGGGCAGGCCCAGGCAGAGGAGGGGAGGAAAATGGGCCACCCCCAGGAATGTGAAATCCTTATAGAAACAGACCGGAGCCTGCAGAAGCCGACAGAATGCCTGCAAGATGACGCTGGCAGAGACTGTGGGGAGCAGAGATCCCATCTCCTCTATGTAAATGAAGGGGCTCGCTCACACTGTGGTCACATACAGGGGAGAGGACCAAGACTACGAGGATGTGGCACGGGCTCAGTTCAAGGTCGTAAGGTCTTCATGAACTTCAGAAGGGTGAGAGCCAGTGTGGCTCTGGAAGAGACTGGTGGAGTGAGTCCTGGGGAGGATTTGAGATGCCCTTGGAGGGCCCTGAGGCTGAGCCATGAATGCAGACACAGAGGAAGCATCTCAGCAGCATGGTCAAGAACAGTACACGGTGCAGAGGTGGACCTCCTGGACCCCAAGTGGCAGTCAACATCTCCCCCAGGCTCTCAGGATAACTGCACAGTTCTCCCGAGCCAAGCGCCCTCCAGTAAACAGGAATCCGTGGAGTGAGTCTTCTCACCATGGAAATTAGTCCTCTTGCCCACACACTTACTCTGGCCCATCCTACAGACGGATGCCTTGTGGGTCGGAGTTACCACTCAGTTACCTATTGTCAATCTGTCTTTCCCCCACCACCCTTACCACCTTATCACTGTGTCCTCCACCCCTCCCCTGCCACTTACCCAGCAACTGAAAAGGACTGCGACACAAGCCCCATCCGTCCTGCTCCCCCACTGACCTCTCCTCCTCAGGTCTGGAAGTCCCTGCGGACAGAGCCGGCTTTACCTTCACCCCTTCTCCTGCTCCAGCCACACTGTTCTCAGACTCACCTGCTCTTCCCGACTGCAGTTTCTGTAACTCCTTTCTCTTGTGAGAAGCCTCCCGCCAGTTGGTCCCTCAGGATCTCCACTCATCCTTCAGGCCAGCCTACACTACGTAGCAAGACTATGATCTCAAAACAAAAACCAAAAAGAAAATGATTTTCAACACAAAGCTTCTTTATGCAGTTGCCCATTTCCTTATTTTCTAAAATTAACACTTTTTACTGTGGTAAAATATGCACATAAGATTTACTATTGTAGTTTTTAAGGGTTTTTCAAGCTGGGCAGTGATGGTGCATGCTTTTCTGGGGGGAGGGTTCCAGGACAGCTGGGACTGTTACAGAGAGAAACCCTGTCTCAGACAACAACAACAAAACTTTTTAAAAGTTTTTCAGTAGGCCTGGAGAAATGGTTCAATGGCTAAGAGCACTTACTGCTCTTGCAGAGGGCCTGGGCTGTTACTAGCACCTATCCTCTAAGGATAGACGCTTGCTACCGGGCTACCCTCCTCGGGCAGAGGGTGGCAGCTGTGACAGCCAGTACTCAGCTCTCATCAACACAAGTGCTTGAGCAGCCCATCTGCCTGTTGTTAGCAGGTGGGCTGTCTGTGGTCTTTGAATGAGAGTGTGGACATCACTACACCTAGGTAAGGTTGAGGAGACAGTTTTTATTGTAGACATGAGGGAGAGAACAGGCAGAGGCATCCAGAAGAGTCTAGACTGAACACAGCCAGCAAAACAGACTGTGCCATGAGAAAGGATGGGGGGGGCAAGAAAAGAGAGAGGGATAAGAAAGGGGACCAGGAGAGGATGAAGAACCAAGAGAATGAGGACCGAGAGAACCAGGAGGCCAAGAGACTGAATTATATAGGAAAGAGAAGCTGGAGAAAGAGAAGGGAAGGGAAGGGGAGGGGAGGGAGGGCAGGGGAAGGGGGAAAGGGGAAGAGAGGAGGAGGAGAGGGAAAGGGAGGGGAGGGGAAGGGAGGGGAAGGGAGGGGAGGGAACCGGCTTGAGAAGTTTACGGTAGGGGGCAGAGCTAAGCGGTCTTGAGGACTAGTCAGGACTATAACAGGCCAGCTTCGCTTTGATGTGTTAATGAGCACCTCAGTTAGCCTTGTGCCCTTACTAACTTGTCCAGGCCTCTTGGCACTTCTCCTTGGGTTGTGCCCTCTACTTCAGAGTGGGCTGGCTCAGGGGACAGATGTATTTTGCCAACCTCTAGTGAGGACTTGAGACAGGTAACCCAACAGTGAATTCAGCAGGAGATTCTGCCCTGCCAAACTTCTGAGATGTCACTAGCACCACTCCAATGGAGTGAGTCTGAAGCATCCAGCAGATTCCTGCTTCACACACCCATGAGGTATTATTGTTCAGGGACTGCGGCCATGGCTGAGTGCTTGCCCAGTGTGCTGGCTAGTCTTATATTAGCTTGACACGCAAACTAGAGTCATCTGAAAGGGGGAAACTCAACTGAGAAAATGCCTCCATAGGATCCAGCTGTAGGGCATTTTCTTAAATGACAGGGGAGCAAGCAGGAAAGCAGCACCCTTTTATGGTCTCGGCATCAGCTCCTGCCTCCTGGTTCCTGTCCTGACTTCTTTCAATGTGGACCTGTGAGGGAAACAATCCCTTTCCTCTCCAACTTGCTTTTTGGTCACGGTGTTTCATGACAGCAATAGAAACCCTAACGAAGGAACCCAGCATGCAAGGGGACCCAGGTTACATCCTCAGCACAGCAAGAAAACAATGAAGCAAGTGTCCGCTGCTCCAAGCCTTTCTCTGTGGGGATGGTCTATTGTACCGATACAATACACGTGTCTCTACCATGCTTGGAGTACTTTGGACACTGTGACTTCTTCTCCATATGTGCTGAGCCAGCTCAAATGAACAAGGAGAGGCTCTGACAAGGCTTGAGAACGTTTTTGAAAAGGAGGCTCAGGGTGTGAGAATGGTAGTGGATGCCTTTAATTCCAGCACTGGGGAGGTAGAGGCAGGTGGATCACTGTGAGGGAAAAACAACATCCAACGCCTAAGTGTAAAAAGATTTACAAAAGGTTCCTCCTGATCTGGAGTGTCGGTGGTGGAGTGTTTGCCTAGCATGTGTAAGGGGCCCTGGGCTTAATCTGGAGCACAGACAGACAGACAGACAGACAGGCAGGCAGGCAGGCAGGCAGAATAGGCCAAGCATTGTGACACATACCTAGAATCTGAACTCCTGGGAGGCTAAGGCAGAGAAATTGCTAGTTCGAGGCAAGCCCAGGATTTATATCAAGGCGCTGTCTCAAAACCATGAAGTAAAAAGAATTCTGTCCTCTCACACACTCACTTCTCCCAGGAAGCCATAATGTGCTCTATCAAAATGACGGCACTAACCCAGAGAAGAAATGGGTCCCAGGAATCAAGAGCTGATACAAGAGCGTTTTGAAGCTGAGGCAGATGGAAAAGGCTCCCTCAGGAAGCTGCTGTGGCTGGGGTCTGGCAAGTACCAGTCTAGACCAAAGCAAACTGAAAGGTTCTAGAACAAAGGTTCAGGAAGATGGATCCTAAGGGCTTAAGTGTTTTGACTCTGGTTATACAAATGGAAGAGGGGTTGGGCTTGAGCTAGTAACAGACATCAGAACACTAGCAAGCAAGAAAAGGAAGAGAGTTATTAACTGTAGGGAAATAAAAACATTGTGTAGGAAAAGCCATTCCTTCTGGGATGCTCTAAAGCAGTGGTTCTCAATCTTCCTAACGTTGCGGCCCTTTAATACAGTTCCTCATGTTGTGGTGACCCCCCCAAACATAAAATTATTTCGTAGCTGTAATTTTGCTACTGTTATGAATCATAATTTAAATAGATGATATGCAGGATATCTGATACAACCCCTGTGAAAGGATCATTTGACCCCCAAAGAGTCATGACCCACAGGTTGAGATCCATGGCTCTAAAGCAGAAACAGAGAATATTGATCTAAATAAAATTACAACATAATTAAGGTAAGAGGAAGCAGAGACAGGAAATGTTCTGTGTAGTGGAGACAGGGAAAGCTAAAAGCCAGATCCAGTCATCCAGAGCAAAAAGTCAATAAAGTTCCACAGTGAGCAGCTCAAAACCTCCTGGAACTCCAGTCCCAATGGACCCAATGCACTCTTCTGGCCTCTAGAAGCACTGCAAATATGTGGTGCACATACAGACCTGCCAACACACTCTCACACGCACGCGCACACACACATGCACACGCACGCACATGCACACACACGCACACACACTCATGCACGCACACACTCACTAAATTAAAATCTACCATAATTTCCACATTTAGAAGTTGTGCAATAAACATTGGCTGTGACATTTTTGCACGTAGTGTCAGAAGGACCTTCTGTCTCCACCTCATGTCTCCATCTCCTATGTGAATTCACTGCAGCCAGCCGCCCTCTGAAGGCTGCAGGCTTCTATCCTGCAGTGTAGGGACACCTAGGGAAGGATTGGTTTCCTGCTAGGTACAGCCAAATGCCTGCAATGGATAACAGTTGATCTGGTTTGGATCTCAAAAAAAAAAAAAAAAAGACTGTTTTTGAACTGACAGCTACAGCCACTGGGAACACAGCCCTTATCTCTAACTGGCAAACTCTGAGCTGTGCCCATCCTGGAACCACTGAGCCATTTTCTCCTGAGTATTACACAATTGGCCTGTCCCCATTGCTTCACAAACACCACTGGGCATAATGACACATGCCTTTAATCCCAGCACCTGGGGGGCAGGAGCAGGTTTATCTGTGAGTTCAAGACCAAGTTGGTCTGCATGGTGAGTTTCAGGATAGTCAGAGCTACACAGTGAGAGCCTGCTTCAAAAACAACAAAACAAAAAGGCTCTCGGTGTTTAAATATGTCCCAGCTTCCCATGGCGTCCCAGGAGAAACAGCCTCAGTGTCCCGACTGCCCCTTACACAGCAGTTTATGAAGTCCTCACTTTCCTGCCGAGAGTCCCGGATGTATGGCACCAAGGGCTGAAGGCAGCTCCAGATGTGGTCTGGCCAGCCCAGAGGCTCCTGAGATACCAGTTTTCTGTCTCGTGGACTATGAAGCCCTGCCTTTCCCATGGCTGCAACGTATCCACTCAGTGCCCAGGCGGTGCCCTTTGTTATCACCAGGGTGAGAAATCCTGCAATCAGACAATTGGTTCTTTGAACCTAAACAAAGGGCTCTGTCCTTGTTCAGCTGCGACTTTCAAAGTTTAGCCTACTTTTGCAGTTCAAGGTGTCTTTGCATAGATTCCAACTTCATTACTAACCTCTCTGGGTTTTACATAGCTCACTAATTTGACTGGCAGGCTTTATTATTATCTAAGAGGATAATAAAAATACATTAGGGTCAAAGATAAAACCCATCGGCCCATTACCGGGTGCACATGACATGTTGACAGTAATTACTATCCTGGCTTTGATTGCCCAAGAACCTCTGAAGCAACTCAACCAAATAGCTCCCCGGCACAAGACGCATGGTCTAAGACAACAAGAATCCGTTCTCTCATAGTGCTGGGAGCCAGAAGTCCTACGTCAAGCATTAGCAGAGCTGTGCTCTTGGAATCCTCCCTTGCCTTTTCTGTTGTGGCCTGCTGACCATCCTCCATGTTTCTCAGTCACAGTCTCATGGCTCAAACCCTGCCTCCAGCTCCACATGGCTTCTGTCTTCCTTGAGTCCCTGTGCTGGGTGGTTTTGGTTTTTTGTTTGCTTTGTTTTGTCAACTTGACATAAACTAAGGTCATCTGGGAAGAAGGAACCTAAATTGAAAGATTGCCTTCATCATTTTGTCTATAGGCAAGACTTGATTAACAATGGATGTGGGAGGGTCCAGCACACTTTGGGTGGTGTCACCTATAGGTCTGCTTGTCCTGGGATCTACAAGAAGGCAGGCTGAGCAAGCCATGATGAGCAAGACAGTGAGCAGCGCTCCTCCATGGCCTCTGCATCAGCTCCTGCCTCCAGGGTCCTGCTTTGAGTTCCTGCCTTGACTTCCTTTCCTGATGAAGCATAGTATAGCTGTAAGATAAAACCAACCCTTTCTTCCCCAAGTTGCTTTTGGTCATGGTGTTTATCACAGCAATAGGAAACACACTATAAAGTTACCTGTGTCCAGTTTTTTTCTTCCTTTAACAAGGATATTGTTTATTGGGTTTGGGGCTCAC